TGCAGGCGGGGCTACTGAGGGGACTCGAGGCATGGCAGCTGCAGGCGGGGCCACTGAGGGCACTGGAGGCGTGGCCACTGCAGGCAGGGCCGCTGCAGGCGGGGCTGCTGAAGTCTCTGGGGGTGGGGCTGCTGCAGGCGGGGCCACTGAAGTCTCTGGGGGCAGGGCCGCTGCAGGCGAAGCCGCAGAAGTCTCTGGAGGTGTCTCTTGGAGAGCAAGGGCAGATAGGGTCTCCAACTGGAACTCCTTGAGGCTGAGGAGTTGACAGAGCTGGACCAGCTTAGACTGGAGCTAGACTAAATGATAAATGATAAATGGCCTGCACTTGTATAGCGCCTCTCAGAGTAAGGACTCCAAAGTGCTTTACACTACAGTGTATCATTCATCCATTCACACACATTCACACACTGATGGTGATGAGCTACAGTGTAGCCACAGCTGCCCTGGGGCGCCCTGACAGAGGCGAGGCTGCCGAGCACAGATGCCACCGGTCCCTCCGACCACCACCAGCAGGCAAGGGATGACGCAGTCAGGGTGAGGAGGAGGAGATTTTTAAATTCGAACGGCTGTTGCTCACTCCCCCGCCCTTCCTGAAAGAGCCGAAAGCCACACCTCCCAATGTGCACGCGCAGGAAAAGCAGAGTCAACATCGAAGCATAGCTTCTTGTAATAGAGCTGAGCTAGTGTTAGCAATGGAGTTATCTGAGGTAAGAAAGTTGTATTTAACCAGCACATTAAACACTTACTGTTTACAAAAGGCATTTTATAAAGAATATCTATAAATATATTTATATTTTAAAATACCAGTAACAGTTGGCAACAGTTGTAAATAAAATTAATCCTATCAAATTGTTAGCATTTTATTACAAGTAACTAGCTTATTTTTAATTGCTTTGCCATTCAAGATGGGATGAATATATGAAAGCATATAAATAATTTATGTGGAAATCATGAATAAACACTGCATTCTGTGTAGTCCTCCTATAATCATGGTTGTTTTCATAGGGTTTCTGTTTATTGTTGGTTTAGCCCAAATTTTGACTAGATGTAAACCTGATCTGTGTCAAAATTGATTAATATGCAAGAGTACTTTTTATATTAGTATAATTTTTTTTATTCTAATACAATTTAGAGTTCAGTGATTGAGGAATCCTCTGAGGAAGAGTTTGAACCTCCTATTGCATCCTCAAGACGTGGTGCAAAAAGGAGATGCCCACCATCATCTCAAAGCCGTGGTGCATCCAGAGGCCGTGGTGTGTCTAGAGGCCGTGGTGCATCCAGAGGCCAAAGAAGTGTGAGACACTCAGCTGTGGACCTTGGAGATGAAGATCTCTCTCGAGTTCGGAATCTTTGTTCCGAGCGAATAGACTTTGAACGTGTAAGCATAACTGTTGCTGTAGCATCTCTTTCCACTTTTGTAGCAACACATACAGAACCTGAACCCTCAGCAGGCTATTGACATCCTTACCATGGTGCTGGACACTGGTGTTCTCTTTGATGCACTTGCCCTCTCTGGTCCACCTGCCACAACACCTCCAACACCCAATCAACCTTCATGGTGTTTATGCTCCCACTTCAGAGATATGCCAGCTGATTTGGAAAAGAAATGCTGCCAACAGCCTCCCCAGACCTGTATTTCAACTGTACCACACATGGAGGAGTTTATTCTGCAAAATTCCCTGACCCCAATGGTAACTACACTGGTTTTATTCCAAGACAATTGTAAATAAATGTATATATTTGATATTTTACATAAGTTTGTTTTTATATATTTTTGTTTGATGCTCTAATAAAGTGTTCTAAAGCACAACTCTGTGTTGCATTTGTAAAAATACCATACATTTTAAAACTCCTGCACAACAACAAAAAATTATGTCTACCTCCAACATTTTACATAAATTTTTAAATTATTAGTCCTTATTTCCCCAAAATATATCTTTATTTAAAAAAATAAAAATAAAAAATAAAAACAGGAAACAAAAATAAAGAAGGTTTTGGGTTTTCTCTTGCCTCCCCCAACACCTATGTCTGTGGCAAAGTTTTACCTGTAAATAAAAACTAAACTCAATTAGCAATGGACTATTGTGTGGAAGATGTAAGGCACATAATGTTTTATTTTACCATCACCGCAAGTCCGTAGGTGTTGTAGAAGTTCCTCTATTGATGGTGCAGGGACTCAGGACAGCAAACCATAACGCCTTGGATCCTCAGGCCTTAGCTTGTAGCGTCGAGGAAGACCTTTCTTGCTTGTCAAACATCGGTCAGTTGCTTCTGGGATATTACAGTCATGAACTGTATCCTCTATGTTAATTTCTTGCAGAGTCTCAAGTTGTAATGTTTTTTGTAATGCTGCTCCAGTCCTGTGAACAAAAGCTTTTCATTAACTATGCGCTATTGCAGTTTTATAGAATGTTAAACAAAAAGAATTACCTAATGTGTATATAAGGTGTGTAGTCCTCATCACCGCTGTCATCAGTACCGCTGTCCATCTCGATGGTTTCATCCTCCTCTGAAGACGAATCAACTTCTGTTTCTCTGTTTGGTGACCATGTGTCATCTGATGACTATCCTGAATATACACAATATAAAGTTTTTAGTATGGAAAATTAGACACATTTTATTAACATCTGAATACTTACACATAGTTTTGAATATTGTTCAACTCTTCCTTTTCAATGTTTGCTTCAATTCCCACACAAGATAACCTAAAAAAGTAATTATTGTTTACTTTTCCTGACAAATGTGACAGCCAAATACAGATACAACCTTGTACTTACATTTGTGAAGATCCTTCTTTTTTAGTTTCACCTTGTTCCATCACCTCCTCCAAATTATCATCCCTATGAAAATAAAATACAAGCACAAGAATATGATTAGAATCAATACATATTTTGTCATTTTGAAGGTAATAGACCTCGTCTATTGGCCGTCATCATCACCCTCTCCTTATTTTTCTCACTCTACTTATTACGCATTTCTCTGTATCCACTCAATTCCTTCTTTACAAATAATTTCCTGTCTCTCTCTTTACATTTTAAAAACACAATTGTGTTATTTTTTTCTCATAAACTTTGAAATAAAAATATAATTTTTTAAATATGTTTAATTTTGTTGTTGTGTAGTGCCTCTAGAGTTTTATCTTGAGAGGCGCTATATAAAATGTAGTTTTACTATTTATTTCTATACATTTTTTATAGTCATTCATTATCCCATTTCTAGAATTTTTTCGAAATAATCCACCACTAACTTAAAACAAACAGAGGCAAAATTATAATATTCCTGGTAGGTTTTTACGCAGCTATTTACCTTTCAGATGATTCTCCATGAATGTTAGACAGAGCTGGCACTGGTGTTGGAGAAATAAACAGTTGGTGTTTCAATGGTGTAGATGTTGATGCTTCATATTTGGACTGATGACTGTAAAAAACAAAGCCCAAAAATTAGTGATCACAAGCTAAACAAGTCTCCCCAGCCTTCACAGATTTTTGCACGAGCTGATTATCATTCCTTTTATTTTAATATGGAGTTTTCACATAGGTAAGACCACAAACTCAGACAGTAATCTGTACACGTGGCCCACCCAGGTTAGCACAATATGTCTTTCGGTGCTAATGGAAACGTAAGGTTTTGGATACGTTCCTGATCAATCACACCTAATTCTAACTGCTGAATCATCTCCTCAGACTTCTACAAGTGCTACATGAGCTGCTGATTACTCATTTTAATCAAACACGCAGCTCAGGAAAGTGTAAACATCTAATTCAGCTTTCAAGATGCTAACTGAACCCCGTTAACGGGGAAGTTATAAACAAGAGCTTAAAACAATATACTGATGTGGCCTATAGTTAAACGCCACACTAATCATTAGCTCCCATATAAACAAAAAACTAAAACCCCCTTTCGTTACTCAAACTTCTTCCAAATATAGCATAAATAGTTTGACTAGCATCGATTCATGTCGACTTAGCATTCAAGCTAATGCTACATTAGCCAATAGGACACCAAGCATCATGGACGTCACTAGGATTGAGATATAGGGGGGGCTTAGCCCCAGGAGCTTGACCTTGAACATTTTTTTCACATCCTGCAAAAACTTTGTCAATTAATTCATTATCTGAAGAACATTTAACAAAACCTATTATTTTATCACTTTCTTTTCCTTTCCTACCTTTGTGCATTTTCTCTCTTCTTTTTATAAATAATAACACTTAATCAGTTCATTAGTGGGGTCTATGTTGAAGAAAGATTTTATATCAGTCCATTAAAAATTAGATATGTTATATTTCCAAATAAAGCTATTCATTTCAGTCTACTGCACTTAACAGGGGGAAATGTTGTAGTCATTTGTTTAATTACAACTTGCTTAATTATAAATGTTACTGAAATATGACAAAGAACAAATGAATAAATGTCAAACTTTTATTCTGCCAAATGAGTGTGCAGTTGACAGTTTTAATATATGAATAACACTGAAAGGAGTATGTAATTAACAATTACAAGACAAAATAACAGTATATATAAAAATGAGGGCTGGGACTTGATTAAATTTTTTAATCTAATTAATTAGAGGCTTTGTAATTAATTAATCTAAATTAATCGCATTGTAATCGTTCAGGAAAATGTGCTCTCAAAGCAAAACTTAATTAAAATTATGAGACAGAAAATTAAACATTAGACATAGTTATTACTGTAAAACTAAAGCTTTTAATAAAAAAATGCATTTTAATTAATCAAATGTCACTGTGTGATATGAAACAAAACCCAAATCAACTCAAATTTATAATTACAAATAGAAAACACCTGTAAAGGGTTCCCGAGCCTTTAAATAGTCTCTCTGTCTAGTTGAATTACTGAAATAAATTTGACTTTGCACCAGATTCTAATTTTTCCAGTTTCATTTGTTTGTATAATTGGGAGTTTTTATTAGCATTTCTACTCATAATGTAGTAAAAACACATAAATAATAATCCTTCAAAATGACAGTAGAACAGGCACAAATATGATCTAGGACTTAAATGTACTAACTTTAAACACCAGAGCAGGCGTGACATATTCTGAGAATGATTAGGAACACTAACTGGTTCCAGTTGGATGACTGGAGGTTGATGGGATGATAAAAGATCATGGCGAGGAAATAATGATCTGACGAACAGGTGAGCGGACCTTCCTTATATGGGAAGTTCTGCTGTCACGTTAAGAAGGGGATGCTGCAGACCGATCACAACTTCCTCGTTCCTCGCTGCCCCTGATACACTTAAGCATCCGTCCCTTAGCTGATGACAGCTTCAACACACCTCGCTGCTTAATGATAGTAATGCATGCGATGATGTTTAGACAGAGACTCGTCTCAGAAACGTATAACTCCCCGACAGAATTGTTTAGAAAATCATCAGAAAAGTTTCTGAGTGTTTCTTTTTTAACGTAAACTTCTGTTTTCAACTTTAAGACACGTTGTTTGTGATTGTTTACAGAGTAGTGAGAACACGGAGCGTTCTCGCAGAGGCAGCCAGGTGCCACTCGTTTGTCTGACTACTTTCATAAACTACTGCTAGGACACAGACTTATTCTGTCTGGTGCTTTCAGCGCTGCACAGATGTTACGTAAATGTTAAAAATATAGCTTACCGCAACTTTTGTAAAGTTTCCGGTGCCACCGGGCGGGCAGCTGCAGCAGAGACGATCTCTGAAAAATGTCCGCGACACGGACTCCGTTGTTGTCTGGAAGTTTGTTTTTTTTCAAGTTAAGAAAAGAGGCGGACGGGTTTCCTAAATCCTGCATCAGTCCAAGCAAGCCAACTTCTTTCTGTTTTTATTCCGTTAGTAGCCATTAGCACTGTGCATTGTTGTGTGCGTCAGTGATATTCTGTCTACGAGGAAGTCGTGCAATGACAAAGGTTCCGCCATGCTCGAAATGCAAGCTGCGATTAAATCATGCGTGACATTTTTTTAACGTGTCGTTTTTTTCTAATTAATCATAATAACGCGTTAAAGTCCCAGCCCAAAAAAAACTCAAAATGATAGGGGGGCTTGTGATTATTTTAGGGGGGCTGAAGCCCCCCTAAAACGGACCTAACGACGTCAGCGCCAAGCATACAAAGCTTGTTTGCTCTATTACTTCTTTCAGTGAAAGAAAGATTATAAGTAAATTTATCCGAAAAACAATAAATAACTTACCTGTCTAAAAGATACTTTGCCAACTCTTCATCCATTTTCAGGCCGTGTAGATCACGAAAATCTCTCCATCGTGTGTAAAACAATCTCCAATGTAAATTCTACTCGACTGTCTCAAACGTCTTACAGCCACTTTTGAAGAAGGGCTTTTAAACTTTTTAAATGTTTTTTGAGATGTGGAAGGCAGTCGAGGAATCGGTAATTTGGGGTTTTGTTGCTCCATGTTTCTGCAGTAAGCCGAGTGAGGCGCGTGACACTATTGTGTGCTGAGATCTGCTCGTGCTCGATGATTGACAGCTGCCCCCTGGTGGAAACGCAGCGCTATTGGTCAATGCGTTAGGCTTGCAGAAATATTGGCTGAGCTCTACAGGGCAGGGGAGGGACTTAGGAGACAATTGAAATACTAAAGATTATTTACTTTTTTTGATAAAATTGGGTCAGATGGTCAAAATCAAACATTTTTAAAGTTATTCTACATTTAAATGTTGCAGACTGTGCCTTTAAGTGTTTTGCCCAAGGACACAACAGCAAAATTATCTGTCCGGAGCCAGGATCGAACCTGCAACCTTCCGATTACTAGACAACCCACTCAACCTGCTGAGCTTCTGCTGCCTACCTGACTAACTACGTCGGGTGGCTTGCAGGCGGGGACGCTGAAGTGACTGGAGGCAGGGCCGCTGCTGGAGTCTCTGGAGGTGGTGCTGCTGCAGACGGGGCCACTGAAGTCTCTGGAGGTGCCTTTTGGAGAACTAGAGCAGATAGGGTCTACAACTGGAACTCCTGGAGGCTGAGGAGTTGACGGAGCTGGACCAGCTAAGACTGCAGACCGGCGAACTCCATCGAATCGCCTGCAAGCTTGGTTCCTTGGTCTGTTGTCGAGGAAGGTGCTGACTGCACTGGAGACGGAGGCTGGGGGGTCCAAGCTGGCGTGCAGAGCAGGGGCCTGTGAGGTGGGTGGCACCACTCTGCTCCCTCGACCTCGCCGTCTGGTCCCTCTTGTGGCCCTCCTGGAGTGGGAGAAGACCGCGGGAGGGGTGTCCACTGGCTAAGTGCGTCGCTCGCAGGACGTCTTCACAACCCCCTCTGGAGCCTGACTCACTGAGGAGCTGGAGGTGATGTCAGCCGGGGTTGCAGCACGCCCGTGGTGCAGCTCCTGGTCTGAGGAATCTTTCTGGACAAAATGGCCACTGTGGTGCACAGTCTGTCAGGTCCTGTGTCTTCACCACAAAAAAAAACAACTTTAAAAACCTAAAAGAATGTGGGTCTTGCCATCAACCTATCTACTATCTATTTCTGTTTGTCTTCAAATACTGCTGTGCCTATCCTTTCCATGGAATAAGGATGAAAACAGCACCCAAGACCTCCTTCCAATAAGGGTGAGTCAGCACTTATTTTCACAAGAATACTGGATAAGGGCCATGCTAGGCCACCTCCTGATAAAAATGAACTGTTGCAGCTTTCTAAACCTTCCTTGGGAGTTATACACCTTCTGCTGGTCTTGCTTTTGGCTGGAGATGTTGAAATGGATCCTAGGTTACTTCCACTGCTACCTGGGCTATCTGCAATGCTACCTGGATTGCCTCCATTGCTATCTGGACCATGTCCAGTGCTACCTGGGCTATCTCCACTGCTACCTCAGCTATCTCCATTGCTACCTGGGCTATCTCTAATGTTTCCTGGGCTGCCCTCACTGCTACATGGGCTACCTACACTGTTACCTGGGACACCCCTATTGTTGCCTGGGCTACCCACATTGCTGCCTGGAGTGCATCCATTGCTACCTGGACTGCCTTTACTGCTATCTAGGCTACCTCCAAAGCTACCTGGGCCACTTGAACTGCAAATTGGGCTGCATCCAATGTTGCCTGAGCTACCTCTACTCCTATTTAGGCCAACGCGAGCTGGACCTCAACTACCACATGCTGAGTCTCAACCACCACCAGCTGGACTCCAACTACCACAAGCTGAGCCTCAACCACCATCAACTGGACCCCAACCACCACCAGCTGAACCTCAACCACCACCAACTGGACCCTAACTACCAGCTGAACCTCAACCACCACTAGCTGGACCCCAACCACCAACTGGACCCCAATCAC